CTTTCTTTCTTTCTTTCTTTCTTTCTTTCTTTCTTTCTTTCTTTTTCTTTCCTTTCCTTTCTTTTTCTCTCTCTCCCTCTTCCTTTTTTTTTTTTTTTTAAGATTTTTAAGTAATCTCTATACCCAACATAGGGCTCAAACTCACAGCCCCAAGATCAAGAGTCGCATGCTCCACTGACTGAGCCAGCCAGGCACCCCTCAATTTGATTTTTCTTAAGTGGAATATTGTTATACTACACTTTTGTTGGGAGGGTAAGATATAAGATATTCGATATTTCTGTGACGATGAGATTTGTCCTCAGATAAAAGTATGCTTCTCACTGAAAATGACAAGAATATATAGAAACAGGGCCCTTAGATGTAGAAGGATCTGGGCTTCAACTCCACCTTATTAACCACTGACCTTGTAATGTTCTCTCTCCATCTCCGTTTTGTCATCTAAAATTGGGAGAACAATGGTACTGCTTGGGCTTGTTATGAGGTTTAAATGAAGTAACGTACATATCTGACACTTGGAATTGGAAATCGACCTCCGGGGAGGGAGGAAGTGGAAGAGAATGATAATAACAGTGGTGAAAGGCTCAGAGAGAATTGTGAGCTCCTGACTCACCCCTACAAAAGCAGCCATGGTTTATATACATATCTTCCTCAGCTTACAATGGGGTTATGTCCCAATAGACTCATCGTTAAGTTTCAAATATCCTAAATGTATTTAGTACCCCTCACCTCCTGAACACCATAGCTTAGCCTAGCTGAACTGCAACATGCCCAGAACACTTACATTAGCCTACAGTTGGGCAAAATCATTGGACACAAAGCCTATTGCACAATGAAGTGTTGACTAGCTCAGGTAATTGATTGAATACTGCTGTCCATGTACCACTCGTTCACCCTCGTGATCGGTGGCTGACCGGGTGCTGCAGCTGCTGCCCGGCATCACGATGGAGGATCCACTGTGTAGCCCCAGCCCGGCAGAAGATCCAGATTCACAATTCAGAGTATGGTTTCTACTCCATACACATCACTTTCGCACCATTATAGTCGGAAAAGTGTAGTGGAACCATCGTTAAGTTGGGGACCTTCTGTACTGAACAGGGAACATAGGTGATAGTAATAGTTAAGCATCAGGGCTTTTTCTGGGTTTTAGTTGTACAAACTCTCACTCTGGCTCACAAGGGAACTCTGGATCTTTTCCCAGTTCAGCTCCCACCCATCCCATCATTCAACTATTCCTCTGGCTCCCAAAGCAGAGGTATGTCAGTGGCACCTATGGACAGGGAAGGGATTGTTTCTGCCCTCAGAGGAGCTCATTTACAGCGGCTCAGACTGCTTCCATGTGGGCTTGTAGCAAGAATCACCACAGAAACTGAGTAGCACAGACAAAACGGTGACAGAGCTGGGCTAAGGGCTGCAATGCTGCACTCAGATCGTTCCAGCAGACCAAAAAAAGATAGTCACCCACATCCAGCTCCGGTCATCCGTGCAAATTAGGCCAAAGCTCCCCCTGCCCTTCAGTCCAGCTGTGGGTGATGGTGAAAACAAGGGTGACAGAGAAACAACTCCCCCAACTCCGCCAGCTGCATATCAGTTACACTCTTTGTCTTTCACCTTCTCTCCCTTCTCTGCCTCTGCTTCTTGGTCAGACTCCAACTGGATCCATTTGGTGACTTAATGATGGTGCTGGTCAAGGTTGATCAAATAAACTCAATAGCAGTAGCTGATGTCTACTGAGTGCTGGTCACTTTGTACTCTCCCCGGCTCATGTCATTTCATCCTAACCAAAATCCTAGACAGCAGGTACCAATATCACAACCAGTGATTCTTGAAGAAGTAGTTTGCTCAAGGCCTTATGACTGCCAAATAGGGGACCAGGATTGAAACCCAAGGAGTGGGAATCCCCAGCCCCTCCTGTATTACCCTGCCTCCAAAGGGGTTTGGGGGCTTGGACATATGCTCTTTACCACAGAGGTTTGGCTGTAACAACAGCCCTGAGGTTTCAGTGCTAGAATGGGATCTTGCCCTGTGTCTGGGTCATTTTCCCAAAGTTCTGGTAAGGACACTTTTTTCATCTTCGGAAGAATTTACGAAGATTTACATTTGTTTTTTGTTTGTTTTTTCTTTTTGTTGTTTTCTGAATTCCCAGGGCCATAAAAAGCCAGGCAGGTCAGGAAACACCTCCCTGCACCCCAGGTGGTGGGCAGCTTCTTGGGGCTCAGCTGGATGCATGAGAGCCCCCTCTGGCCTCCTCTCTCTGACCTGTCTATAGGAAAGGAGGTGCCAAAGGACATGACAAGGGCGCGTTGCACAACCCCTTGACTTTGCTCCCATGTCATTCCAGGCTGAAACTCCTGGCCAAGTCAGCCAGATTCATTATCTGTATTGCAATTAATGATCATTTACATAGGGGAGGGCACTCAAATGTGAGCACTATAGCCACCTTTTAGCTATGTGTTTAGATGTGACAACAGCTTTATTTACACAGCCACGCTCAGCTACTTCCAAGTCCCAAGTTTAAACATTGCTTAAGCAACTTCACATTCTTGAATTAAGGACCAAATCTGCAAGGGCAGGTCCATCTCTAGATAGTATTTCAAAATCAGCAGAAGGCCAAAGTCCTGTAAGGAAAAATCTGTCCCACCCTCGGCAGATGAGTCAGCAAGTGTAGCCTCAGTGGTCATTCTGATGCAGGTGGGCTTCGGATCACACTTTTAAGCAACACTATTTAAAAATGTAATGTCTAACTAACCTTGTGACAGATATTTCATTCCACTTTCCATTTCTTCTGAATTTATCTTCCAATTTATCTCAGCCCGGAAGGTAAATTCCTTATAGGCAGGGATTCTGTACCATTGTGCCTGCGTTGCTGGAAATACCTGCTGACCAGAGCTGAATACCCCCCAGGCCCTAGGAAGCCTCTCCATGCTGTTTTCAGTTCCCAAATTTCTGAAATCTCTCTGGGGAGGTCATGATCCTCTCTCTAGGACTCGAGTGCAAGCAACAATGTTCCTGTCTGCTCCCATAATTAATGGAGCTGGGCAGCCAGCCCAAAGGATGAAGATGGCACATTCTCAATTGCTGCGCTCTAAGGTCACTAGCCAAGTTCTACTCCATTTCCTTGGGCTGGAGCGGGCCAAGAAAAGAGTCAAGTACAGCAGAGTGAAGCCGTGGGAAGGCAGCCAAATCCCACTGGAGGGGGTAGGAGTTTACTTCACTACTCCCGCTCCAGGCCCAAATCCAGCATGGCACGCCATGCTCCTTCTGCATCTTGCAAATTAGGAAAAGGCTCTGTCATCTGTGGTTCTGTGTCCTCTTACAGAAGAGGAAACTAATGTTAAAAGAACACGTGCTAAAGGAGAACCTTTCCAGTCCCATGGCCAACAGGCCACTGTAATCTCATTCAAAGTGACCTTGGGATCAAAACTGGCAAAGCCAATCTGGAAGTCCAAATGAAGCTTTGCAGCAGATAGGTACCAACTCCACTAAGTGTGCAGAACATTCTGTTGCTGGCCGAAAAAAAGAAGTTTACAGTAAAATGCATAATATCCTAGTATTTGCAGGGCAGAGAGGGAAAGGAATATATGTAAGCATTTGCTGGCATCTGATGGAATATCCTTCAGAAAGGCCAGAAGAAACTGATTAATTACTGGTGTTCTTCCAGGAGATATCCTGGGGGGCAAGTGTGAGTGTCAGATATTTCATTGTTTTTTTGTACCTTCTGGTTTTTGAATGTGCATATATTACCTCATCAAATATAATTACATTTTTAAAATTAGTTTTAAAATTTTTATTTAGCATATGCCCAGCACTAGGGTAGATGGCTGTTCTCAAGAACTGGATAGGGAGGAGAGGAAACAGATAATGAAATAAATCATTACCTTGCCTGATGGGGACAGGGGTGTGGCACAGGGAGAGGCCAGTGGCCTCGCTGGGATGGAAAAGTGGAGAACCAGCTAAGATTTCCTCCAAGAACTTTCTGGGCCAAGTCAAAGAGTAAGACAAATAATTAGGACCACTTCTAATGCTGTAGCTCTCCTAGAAGCCTGAACTGTGATGAGTGTCCGGCCACAGAAAAACACAAGCACCGAAAAGGACCCAACTCTGAACTATTCTATACCAGTCCCTCTGATGTGCGAAAAAAAAGGGCATAACAATGGAAAAATGACTGCAAATATCAGAGGCTATTATATTCTGCTTCCTTCCACCCACCTGGCCTCACTTTCCACTACACTCACCCAACACACCAGAGTAGCAAAGTTTGATAAAGGGAACTAAAAGAGCTGACGTTTACAAAGTGCTTAGAAGAGCGCCTGTCACAAAGTGCTTGTATAAATGTTAAAAGTCAAATAAAGCCTAGCGGAGATGCGAAGCTTCGCAAATACCCCTCCAGAGAATTCCCAACGCCCCTGGACTACTCCGGGAGCCGGGCCTGTTGGAACTTGGATTTTCTTATCTACATAACCTTCCTAAGATACTGGACGTATCAGAAGCGGTGGGCGAGACCCGCACTTGGAAAGGCAGAGCCGGTCCCGTCCATCACCTGGGTGGCAAGAGCCCTTTAGCCCCTCTCTGCTTCGGTTTCCTAATACCGAAACTACGGCCAAAATGCTCGAGTCTCCACCGATTCCTCGACCCAGGCGATCCGCCCAGGAGAATGGAGAATGCTCTTAGAATGGTGCGCAAAAACACCCGGGCGTGGCGAGCAGGTGGCCTCCGTGCGCCCGCCGCGCGGTGACGAGAGCGCAGACAGGTGCCCGCGGACGCGCAGTACCCTCTCGCCGTGCTGCCCTCCGCGGGCACGCGGGCCCAGGGCCTCCCGGGCCAGTGTCTCGGCGCGGCCTCCCCGGGTGCGCGGTGCCCAGCCCTGCCGCGAGGCCGCCCGCCCCGCCTCCCTGCGCGCGGTGCCCGGTGCCCACGCTGCGGCGGGGACGCGCGGCCCTAGCCCGCCCGGGAGAGGGGCTTCCTGGAGGCGGAGCCCGCGCCACCGGCCCGCCGCCGCTCACCAGTTCCCTGAGCCCACGATGCACACTTTCAGTGGCGCCGCTGCCATGGCCAGGATGGAACGCAGCAGCCCGACCCGTGCCTCCCCAGCCGGCAGCCTGCCGGCCTCCGCGCGCACGGCTTTACCCGCAGCGGCTCGCGGGGGCCCCGCCCCTCCCGCCTCTCCGCCAATGGCCGCGACCACCGCCGCCCGGGCGCCCCGGGCCACAGCTGACAGCCTGGGAGGACCCGCCCCGCCACTCCCGAGAACCACTGCGCACGCCTGAGCCTGGCTGGCCTCCGGGCCCGGCTCCGGCGCCGACCCGCCCCTGCCCGAGGCATGCCGGGACTTGTAGTCCGCGCCCCCGCCGCCCCCGCCGCCCCCGCCACCCCCGCCGCCGCGCGCCCCTGGACTGCGGCAGCCGCCGCGCCACGTGCAACCGCGGGTGGTTGCGCAGCTGCTCTCTCGCAGCGCCCGGGGCTGCACCGCTGTTCCTGCAGAACGGGCCTACCCGGGCTCGTCGTGGTGCCCACCCCCCGCTCGCGCCCTTCTCCCCACGCGGGAAGCGCTGCCACACCAGAGTTTGGAGCCGAGAGAGGATCCCGGGTTGACTCTGGAGTCGACTCGACTGGGGGCGAAGTTCAAAGTACCCACACCTGCCTTTTCAGCCTCTGCCTCATTTGTGGAAACAGGAAACAGTCTGGCACACCCTGAACTTCTTAGTGAATTTCTGAGGCCTTCTGGACGTAGCTGGACCTGAGCTTCAGGATGGACACTTTCTAGTTAGTCAAGAGAGAGACCTGGACGCCGGCGGCATCGCACTCCCCCACTTGCTTGGCAGGACGTGCCTCCTCATTGTCTTTGCCCAGGGCGCCTAGAGAGCTTGTGGTTCGGACACTAGAAACTATGCTTCTCCTTCCTGACAAATAGAACATTATTTATTCATTCTGAGTGTCACTTTCCACCAGGCCACCGTGCTAGACACTGTGGGAGGAGGACAAAGTGGCTTACGACAGGCTCTCAAACTCTGCTGCATATAAGAGTCTTTGGAGCTTTTTAAAAAAAAACCCGGGCCCCGGCACCACCCTGGATCGTCAGAATCTCCCAGGACACAGACATCAGAATTTTTTAAAGTTCAAAAGATGATTGCCAAAGGCAGTAAAGATGAGCGCCAAAAAGCTAAAACACCAGTGGTGACTGGCCGGAGAAACAAATGCTCTAATCCCTAGAGAAATACTATTAGTCTGATGTTCAGAGGATTAACAACTATTTTTGTTTTCATCTTTGCATTGTGGGAAAGATTTATCAATATTACTTATGCTAAATACTTAAAGGAGTGGGTGGGGCGAATTTTCTCCATTCCTTCACTGATGGTTTGCTCTCACTTCTTTGCATTAATGAAAGACATCTAGGCAGGGATGATGTGAAAGATGGACTTTAAAAGCTTTATTAGTTTTTTTCTTGCTAGAAATTTTTTTTTAAGATTTTATTTCTTTCTTTATTTATTTGAGAGAGAGAGAGTGAGAGAGAGAGAGCACGAGAATGGGGTGAGGGGTAGAGGGAGAAGCAGACTCCGTGTTGAGCCAGGAGCCCAATGCGGGGCTCGATCCCAGGACCCTGGGATCATGACCTGAGCCGAAGGCAGACGCTTAATGACTGAGCCACCCAGGCACCAAGAAAATTACTTTTCTTAGAAAATGAAGTTGTCAAATTAAATAATGAATTTATGGACTTGGGGAGTATCCAGGCATTGCAAAGATTTATACCAAGTGATCCAGTTTTCGCCTTTGCCTGAAAATTTTATACCTCATCTGGAAATTCCTCTTCACCAGTGTGGCAAGGACACCTGCATGATAATGAGCTGCTGGCTATTCTGTGGACACACCCTACAAAACATTATCACACAGTCTTTACTGATCACCCGATATGCACAACACATTGTGCCAGAACAGAGTAAGTTATCAATTATTTTATAGCTTGGTTACAAAGATCAAGACAAAAACGAAGTAGGTGAAACCCATGAACATAATGTTGAGAGAATAAAGCAAGACAGAAGAGATGGCATGCTTTATGATTCTATGTCTGTTACTACAGAAACAAGCAAAAGTAAATATACCAGTAGGGATACACACACGTGTAGTAAAACTGTAAAGGAAAACAAGGGAAAGATAAACAAATTTCAGGATTGTGGTTATGGTGGAGGGGAGGGGAGGTTATTCTTCGTAACGTTTGCATATATTATAAGCATGTTTTACTATGTATGTAATGAAAATCATGGGAGCCAGGAGAAGTGATAGTACAGAAGAGTGAGAAAAGCCGATTTTGAGGGAGCTGGTCTTCTGACCCACTTCTGGTCATCTAAGATGGCAAAGCTGACATCGTCGGCCTTCTGTGTGTCACCTTCCCCGAGAGGGGGGAGCAGCCAGGAGGAGGAGTTAGCCAGTCTCACTGTGCCAGGGCTGACCCTTCGAGGACCTGGAGAAGCCATAGGGTGTATGTGACTCGGTGCCTGGGCACAGTGTCTCTGATGACATGACTAGCGTACACGTGTATCGTGGTAAAAACTGGCTGCGCAGCTAGAAGCCAGGCAGCACTTTGGAGACTCAGCTCAGAAAACTCCTTAGCTAGGTCCCTGAGTTCATGAAGTATACTTTCTATTTTCTGCATTACAGGAGGCAATGGTAACAGAGATGCCAAACTTCCCTATGTAACTAGACTCTCCTTTCCTCTAGCTCCCGATAACATTTTTCCCTGCCCCGTTAAGCCCTCCCCACAAACCTCTTACCCTCCCAGAGGCCTTTCTGACTTCCGCCAGCTGCCAGGTCCCAAAGCCAAAGCCAATGCTGCACGCTAGGGTGGCAGCAACATCCCACTTGCGGGTAGCAGAATCTGTTCTGGTTATCACTTGTTGCACAGCAAACCACCCCTGAACTTAGATCATAAAACAACCACATTCAATTATTTAGCCCCAGAATCTGCTGCTTAGGCCAGGCTCAGAGAGGAAGGGTCTCCCCAGCATGGGGATGGACTTTCAAACAGGGCTGGAAGATCCACTGCCAAGATGGCTCATTCATAAGGCTGGCTAGTTGGTGATGATTGCTGGCTGGGAGCTCAGCCTTAGCTGTGGGCTGCAGTCCTGCAGGCCTGAGTCTTCTCCATGTGGGCCTCTCCAGAAGCAGCTTCCCCATGGCAAAGTGTCTGGGTTCCACCAGCAAGCATCCCAAGAGAAACAAAATGGAAGTCACTGGTTTCTTAAGACCTGAGCCCCCCAAATTATCACAGCATCACTTCTGTCATGATCTTTTAGTCAAGAAATCACAGAGCCCAGATTCTAGGGGAAGGGATATATAATGAATTCTTACAATTAAAGGAAGCCAGATTTATTAGAAAATGTTATTAAGGGGCGCCTGGGTGGCTCAGTCGTTAAGCGTCTGCCTTCGGCTCAGATCATGATCCCAGGGTCCTGGGATCAAGCCCCGCATCGGGCTCCCTGCTTGGCGGGAAGCCTGCTTCTCCCTCTCCCACTCCCCCTGCTTGTGTTCCCTCTCTCGCTGTGTCTCTCTCTGTCAAATAAATAAATAAAATCTTAAAAAAATGTTATTAAAATCATAAGAGAAAATATCATTTACAGTATTATAAGTGGACCTTCTCTGTTCAAACCCATGAATTTTTTTTCAATAAATACAGTAAAGTACTATAAATGTATTTTTCTCTTCCTTATGACTTTTTTTTTAAAAGATTTTATTTATTTGACAGAGAGAGACACAGCGAGAGAGGGAACACAAGCAGAGGGAGTGGGAGAGAGAGAAGCAGGCTCCCCGCAGAGCAGGGAGCCCAATGTGGGGCTCGATCCAAGGATCCTGGGATCACGACCTGAACTGAAGGCAGACAGGATCCTGGGATCACGACCTGAACCAAAGGCAGACGCTTAACGACTGAGCCAGCCAGGCGCCCCCCTTATGACTTTCTTAATAACATTTTCTTTTACTTTGTTGTAAGAATACAGTGTATAATACATATTTAATACAAAATATGTGTTAATTGACTGTTTATGTTATCAGTAAGCCTTCCAGTCAACCGTAGGCTATTAGTAGTTCAGTTTGGGGGGAGTCAAAAGTTATATAAGGATTTTCAATTATGGGGGATGGTCAATACCCATAATACCTGCCTTGTTCAAGGATCAACTGTATATTTTCACATTACAAGTGAGGAAATTGAGGTACAGACTCAAAAAAGACTTTCTGAATTTCCCATGGGGATTCAGGGCCAGGCTTTTCGGATTCCATATCTTATACTCATCCGATTATGCATTCATTCAACACATATTTATTGAGCACCTACTATGTGCCAGTCACTGTACTGGGTCCCAGGGATTAAATATTAGATAAGAAAGGTAGGATCCCTTCCCTCTTTATTTTATAATATTTTATTTATTTGAGAGAGACAGAGTGAGCATTAGCAAGGAGGAGGGGCAGAAGGAGAAGCAGACTCCCCGCTGAGCAGGGAGCCTGATTTAGGACCCTGATATCATGACCTAAGCTGAAGGCAGACTCTTAACCCACTGAGCCACCTAGGCGCCCTTGGGTCCCTACCCTCTTAGATACTTAAAAGGAGATAGAGGCCAGTTAACAGATAATTACCCAATGGTGTGGTAAATGCTACTGGTTTACTCTGGCAGCCCAGAAAAAAGAAAACACACACACACACACACACACAAAACCTGTCCCAGATTATGAGTTTCTGGGAAGGTTTCCCAGATAAAGTAAGATCTCTATTAAAGCCTGAAGGGAAAGGTAGGTGTCCTCAGCAAGGTGAGGAGACAGGAGTGCACAATTAAGCTCTTCTAGGCAGAGAGAACAGCATAGGCAAAGGTTCAGAGACTAGAGAGAGAGTGACATGTGCAGAACCTAAAAGGAATTCAGTATGGACTGGCGAAGAATGAATCACCAGCCTGTGTCATAGGAAGAGTCCTCCAGATGAATTCAGTCACAGGAGGAGGGCGAGGAGGCAGAGACCAGGGAAGAGCCGGCTGCAGTATTCTATATGAGAAGCCACAGTAGGTTAGACTACGATGGAGACCCGTGCGGTGGTGATGGCCATGGGGGGGGTGGGAAGTGGGCCAAACCGAGACATACCTAGGAAACAGAAAAA